AAACTGAACATTTTTTTCAGAAAAAAAGTTTTTTTTCAAGACATAAGTAATTTAAATATACAAAAAAAGTTATTATTAAAATTATATTAAACCACCGATTATATGAGAGGCGTATGTTAACGATGGAGGTAGGTGCGGTTGGTGATGGTTTGATACCCTAGCATCAAAAATAACTTGTTTTCATTAAAATTTTTATCTTTTCTACATTGGAATCAATAGTATACATAATAAAACTATATTTTACAGGAATTCAAATACACAACTTGCATTAATGTACGGGAGGGGCGTGTAACCCCCCCCCCCCCCCCAACCTAAAAAATAAAAAATTACAATAACGCAAATTCTGTTTTAATAAAGTCTTAGAACAAAGTTTTTTTTCTGTATAAGAAAGGTTCCATAAATTAATACCGGACAACTACAAAACATTGAAGGTAAACATAAAACTAATGTTAAATGTGTTGATGATGTTTTAACACACCCTAATATCAAATAAAAAAATAATTATGAAATACCTGATTGGGTATTTAAAGTACAACAACAAAGAAGTAAAATTTAATCGGAGAATTAGTTGTTTAAATATTCTTCTATTACTTAGTGACTTCTATTAGGAGTAAATAATGACAAAAAGGTAATCAAAACAAGGTATTTACCAACCTTTTATAAATCTTCCAATCTTTCATATAGTGCTTGATAGTAGCTTGGTTAACGAAATTTTCAGCTGTTTCAAACTAAAGAACAAATAAAATGTTATTTTCACTAAATAATGTGTGATTATTTTAATGATGCTTTATTTCATAAAGCATCATTAAAATAATAAGTTTTGTCTTGGCTTTTAGTGAATAATTACAATTTCAAATTCCACTAATGAAATTATTTTATAATCATTTTTAACAATAAACACCACGTGAAGGTAAGCTAGAGCCGTCTATCAAAAATGCATAGCAAGTCACAACACTTGCAGTACTTTTTTTTATCATGTCACAGCACATGGAGTACTTTTTCTTAGCAAAGTCACAACACTTGCAGTACTTTTGTTTAGCAAGTCACAACACTTGCAGTACTTTTTCTTAGCAAATCACAACACGTGCAGTACTTTTTTTAGCATGTCACAGCACAAGCAGTACTTTTTCTTAGCAAAGTCACAACACTTGCAGTACTTTTATTTAGCAAGTCACAACACTTGCAGTACTTTTTTTTAGCATGTCACAGCACAAGCAGTACTTTTTCTTAGCAAATCACAACACTTGCAGTACTTCTGTTTAGAAAGTCACAACACTTGCAGTACTTTTGTTTAGCAAGTCGCAACACTTGCAGTACTTTTTCTTAGCAAATCACAAAACTTGCAGTACATTTGCTAAGCAAGTCACAACACTTGAAGTACTTTTGTTAAGCTTATAAATTTCAAAGTTATACTTTCACAGTGTTTTAATAATATCATACAAAATTAATAAAATTGTAACTCTCCTGAAATAACATCTGCAACAAGCTGGATCTTTTTCATGCAATGGTCGACAGCTTCCATATCTGTTTCATCATCTTTCCAGTAAAAAATTGTGTAAACTAAGTCCTTTTTTCTGTTACTAACTTTTTCTACTCTGCCATTATACAAAACAGGCTTGGATGTATTTAGATCGTACCATTCATGGTATAGTTTTTTGCCTACAATTCTTCCAGACATAACATCTTCCAAAATCATAAAGTTGGTCATTAGACAAGTTTTTGTATGAATCTATAATTTCATCATAATTTAGTTTGGATAGTTCACGCTCTAATTTTCTTTTTTCTTTCTCATCCATTTTTTGGCGCTTGGATGCCTGTCTTTGGCTAATACTGGCTCTAATTTTAGCCTGATGCAATCGATTTCTAACTCTATTTCTATGCGCTGCATGGACTGACCATTTAACAACTTTATCTCTCAAATTAAGGTCTAGACTGTCTAAATAATCCACAGTACTATTCTTTTTGGATCTAAGTTTGCAAGAAATATAGCAAATGGTTGCGTTATGGGAACGTACTTTGGCATCGCTAAACATACCTATCAACTCCTCACTATCCATAGTGTGAAGCCTTGCGCTTGCTGTCTCTTCTTTTAATTTCTCTGTAATGTTAAGTGAAAAATATCTACTATACTGTCTATTTAAAACATCTTCTACTGCATTTAGACAAGCAGAAGTCATTTTAAGAAGCTCTTCATCAATAGGGCATAAACTTGTAATTAATTTTAAAATGTCTATTTTAAGCGAATTTCCAAAAAAATCAGTCTGTCTGAAAAACAAATCAGCTGGATTGGATTTGCATGCTTGAACTGTTTGTACAACATTCTTCACTACCTGAATACCGTCAACATGATCAAAATTTGCATGCTCTGTTGTTACACAAAACAATGTCATCCAAGGTCCAGTAAGAACTTTTCCAAATACCGCAAGCACACACATTTGTTTAATGGCGGTTGTATTACAAAAAGCAGCTCGAAGAGTAGCCTGTAAACTTTTACATTTTACTGTTCCAATTGTGAGATAATGTTTAAAGTCACTATAATGCTGCATCAAAATAAAACAAGTATGGAAAAGAATGTGTAGTCGGTTTCCACGATATCTTGGAATGATACCACGTGGTAATTTTTTATTATCTATAAAACTTACAAAACCTTGCGGATCACCTTTGACGTCTTTATATCTCATTTTATTCAAAGCCAAAACTATCAAAGTTGCCATACAGTCATTTCCATACAATTTACAACTCTCATTCTCAAGGGACTTCAACGCTGAACGACATGATGTGCCAATGGTATCAAGAGGGTGCAAATGGCAGTTCATTTCATTAAGATTTTTTCCCCATGTAGCACATACTTTGCTGATAGTGAGATGATTAACAGCAACTCTGTCAGACATTGTGTTTGAAATGTTTTTAATAATTGAATTACGAGATTCATTATAGTTACTCAAGTGAAAATCTGTAGAAGCCATATGATCAATGGCATTACATATATGATTTTCATAGTCCTCAGCAGTTCCACCAGGTAATTGGTCTTGAGCAACGACTAGACATTTATCTTTAGAAGTTAGGTGAATACTGTTAATATGGACACCTTCTTGTGTTGTTGCATCAAAACCAAGAGTAAGTTGACTATTTGTGATAGCCCATTCAGCTGCTTGCAAACTTGATATACTACCAAGCTCACGGGCCATTTGTTCAACAGTATTACGATGGGGAATATTAGTAAAAACAAAACCCATAATTTGCCCAATTTTCTGAATCAATAATGGAATGCTACCTGTTGGGACATTACACAATAACATGTTATAAATTATCATTCTCATCTGTAATGAATATTTTTTTCCTTTTTCAGTAAGTTTAAAAGTGTAGCTTCATTCTCATCCCTCTCAAGCAAATCATTTTCCAAACTAGCAATCACCTTTTTAATTCCCCTTGTATCTGTGTTATGTTTGACCTTCAGTTGCTGCAACTTTTGTTTTTCACTACTTTTTAAAGTTTTTATTGTAGCTATATGATTACGAATTTGTCGTCTATAATAATATGTTTGCATTCTTTTTTTTAATTTTGTCAATGTCGTCCTTAAATCTTTTATTATGTCTTCTTTTCTTTTAACACTTTGCCTTAAAACCTTTAGTTTATATGGCATGCTAATTAATTTTGATTTTAACTAATGTTATATTGCTTCGATATTTTCTAGAAGAATTAGCTAACTGAGTAGCTAAATATGATGCTCTACTCTTTAATTTTTTTTCTCTATTTGTCATTTCTTGCCTTGAAGTGCAAATAACTTCTAAATTATTACTGCAACTTGCTGAAGATAACACTTCACCATCTTTAACAGACAAAAACCGGTTGTGTTCTCCAGGTGATAAAACTAAAGGGGAAACACTTGAGCAAAGCTGGGATAAATGTGAAATTGTCAAGTTAGGTATATAACATGAAAAGAGTTCATTGCAAAAATCCTAAAAATATTTACTGTCTCTTTTATAGTTACTTGTCCATTTTTTTGCTACATTAACTACATTTTGGATATGATTTGTGTAAGTGTTAATGCTAAATAACTCATTGACTTATTTGACAGTTTTGATATATAACTCACCATTGTTGATGAAAATAAAAAGTATGTGTCTATTTCTACATTGAATATTTGCATCATAAGGTAATTTAAAGTTAGCAGTCAAATATTTGTTGGCTGCTCCACGAAATATCAATAGCTTTTTTTTTGGACCCATTTCACCTTTAATAAAAAAATTACAACGAATAACCAAAAAAAATTTATAATTTCATAAGATTAAATTTTATTTACAGTAATAAATCAACGCATTTACACAAAACAAAATTACACTATTATTTAATTAAAAAATATATATATTTTTTGTATTAACTTAGTCAAACAATATGCATACCTTTGATAACAATTAAATGGTTGAAGTGGAGGTTTTAAAACCAATAAAATCATTAACAATTTAATTTACTAAAAATAGAAGCTACATAAACAAAAACTCCTCAACAAATTCTTATATTGGAGTACAACAAAAAAATTTTATAACAATTTTAAAGAAATTAAATTTCATGAATAGAAATTTATATTCACTATCAAGGTTTTCCTATCTAATTTCGGATACAAAAAAGGAACAAAATGAAAATTTAATTAATTTTTTAAGTAAAAACTTTTCTAAAGCAATTTACAAATCTATTTTGATAAACTTTAAATTATTAGCACTTAACTTTGAGTTTTCTTAACAAATTAACCATTAAGGTTTTCCAATGAAATTACTCCTTATTTTAAAAATTCTTAGTAAAACACAAGTTATAATTTTTAATAAAAGTATATTTAAATAAAACAAAAAAGGAAGGTGAACTAGCATTGGACATACACATTGGCTAGCCCACCCTTTCTGCCTCCTCTTCTACCACCTCTATGTTGATGGGTCCCACCACCCAAGTATGGGGGGCGACAAGACCATTCAAAAGATTGCCTGTCTTCCCCCCCCCCCCCCCATAACTCAACCAACGGAAAAAAGAAGCGTGCGACAGTGGTCCTGGGTGGTGAGCTCTATACTGGCAATAGTCTTCATATGTAAGAACTAAAAAAGAATTTATTTTCAACAAGTTTCATATAATATTAGGTAACAGAGAGGCAAGTTAAAAAAATATAAAACTCAAAATTTAAAATCATACTACATAGTAAACCCTACCAGTTGGAACAGATGAAGATGCCACTTAAAAAGAAATAACAAAGCATTATACACAATCTTAAAAATAAATTTTATTTAAACTCATATTGCAGAGTTGAAACATATACACTAACCAGTTGGAGTAGATGATGATGGCACTAAAAAAAAAATAAGAAAGCATTATATACAATCTTAAAAATAAGTTTTATTTAAAATCATATTGCAGAGTTGAATCATATATACTAACCAGTTGGAACAGATTAAAATGCCACTTTAAGAGAAATAACAAAGCATTATATACAATCTTAAAAATAAATTTTATTTAAAATCACATTGCAGAGTTAAAACATATATACGAACCAGTTGGAGTAGATGATGATGGCACTAAAAAAGAAATAAAAAAGCATTTTACACAATCTTAAAAATAAATTTTATTTAAAATCATATTGCAGAGTTAAAACATATATACTAACCAGTTGGAGTAGATGATGATGGCACTAAAAAAGAAATGAAAAAGCATTTTACACAATCTTATTGCAAATCATATTGCAAAGCAAAAATATACAACCTTACCAGTTAGACCAGTGGAAGGTGGAACTAAAAAATTGAAAACATAATAATGCTGCAAAATTATAATATATTTATCCTTACCAGCTGAAACAGATAATGGTGGTACTAAAAAAAAAAAAAAAGTATAATAATTTATTATTTTCATAATTACCTTGCTATGAAAGTCTTATTACAACGTTAAAATAAATAAACTTACCAGTTGGATCAGTATAAAATATATTGCATGATTTTTTTTATTAAATCATGTTACAATGTAAAAAAATACAAGTTTAAATAACTTTAAAATATGGAAGCATATAATACACATACCAATCTTGAAGTTGTTATTAAAATTTAAATATTAAAAATATATTAAAAAGTTAAAATAAAAAAACCTTACCAGATAGAGCAGCTATAAATGATACTTCAAAAAAAAAAAAAGTGTAATGAACAAAAAACTAACTCTTGCAATTTCTTTGCCATATAAATAATTTTGAAATATCATAAAATAGAAACCTTACCAGCTGCAAAAGATGACAAGGATATGAAAGATTAAATAATACAATGACACAAAAAATTAAATGGTACATGTAAATATTACATGTTAAATATACATCCATATTAAATATACAATAACATAGTACATATTAAATAGTACAATACTGCATAATACACAAAATCAAACTATATTTCTCAATACTTAAACATAAAAATACACCTTAATCTCTTACCAATTAATGAAGTAAGTGTTGCTAAAGAATTAAAAGGAAAAAATAAATGTGAAATTGTCAAGTTAGGTATATAACATGAAAAGAGTTCATTGCAAAAATCCTAAAAATATTTACTGTCTCTTTTATAGTTACTTGTCCATTTTTTTGCTACATTAACTACATTTTGGATATGATTTGTGTAAGTGTTAATGCTAAATAACTCATTGACTTATTTGACAGTTTTGATATATAACTCACCATTGTTAATGAAAATAAAAAGTATGTGTCTATTTCTACATTGAATATTTGCATCATAAGGTAATTTAAAGTTAGCAGTCAAATATTTGTTGGCTGCTCCACGAAATATCAATAGCTTTTTTTTTGGACCCATTTCACCTTTAATAAAAAAATTACAACGAATAACCAAAAAAAATTTATAATTTCATAAGATTAAATTTTAAAAAAAAAAAAAAGTATAATAATTTATTATTTTCATAATTACCTTGCTATGAAAGTCTTATTACAACGTTAAAATAAATAAACTTACCAGTTGGATCAGTATAAAATATATTGCATGATTTTTTTTATTAAATCATGTTACAATGTAAAAAAATACAAGTTTAAATAACTTTAAAATATGGTAAATAATAGTTTGTTCTAAATTGTCTATAGAAAAAAAATAACAATGACTCAATAAAAGCAAGAAATCATCAGGAATAAACAAAATAAACAACTGTGGAAAAACTTTGTGGATGCACAAAAATCGGTACAAAACACATAGCATAACAAAGATATATAATTTAATATTGAGAGCAAAAGACTAAATACTAAAATAATAAATCGCCAAAAAAAACTGACTTATCCTCTCAAAAGCGTCATCTAAACAAAAAATGAAAAACTTTTTAAAGCAAAATAATACAAACATTTGAATAAATCTACTGATCTTAAGTTAAAAGAAACTAATGAATATTTAATGTTTAAAATAACTAACTGATATTGTTGGCTGCTGCCGTAGGACTGCTTTGGGCAGCTAAAACAATATAACAAATGTTCTTGATTATTTACGTTACATTTATTATACATAAGAGTTGAATAAGGTTGCTAACATATATTAGTTAAATATGACCATATTTAATTTATATTATTTGTTACAGTTGAAAGATTAACAGTTAATCATTAAAAAAAAAATGATTATCGTGCATCTTTTTCTAAAAAAGTCTAGGTAAAAACTAGACTTTTTTCTCCAATAACAATTACAATATACTACTAACTGTTGTATCATGATGATACAACAAGTCTCTCCAATAACAATTGTAATATACCACTACTACTACTACTAGTATAATACAATTGTTATTGGAGAGACTAATTGTTGTATCATGATCATCATGATATAACAATTAGTCTCTCTAATAACAATTGTAATACACTAGTAGTAGTAGTATATTACAATTGTTATTGGAGAGACTTACAATGTAAGATAAAATATGTTATAATTTTACTAATATGTCAGTTACATTTTTAAAAAATTCAACTTTAAAGTAAGGAAACATTAAAATTCAGTTAAATTAAATTATTTGCCTTCAATGTAAAGTTAATAAGTTTCAATAACTTTACATTGAAAGCAAATAATTTTTTTAAAATTTTAATAAATAGGAAACAATATTGTAAACCTTTATCAACATCTTTGTCTTCCATTTAATTTAATCTAAAAAAAAACTAAAAGTTTTATTTAATCAAAATCAAATGTAAACAATGTTTATTTTTTTTTTTTTTATTTGCATTCACTCCCAACAAGGCTGCAAGCAACCACTATTATGTTGGGAGTTACTAAGAAAAAAAAAGAACAGAGTTATAGAGCAAGGAAACGGTTGACAGAAGACTTAAAAAGTTGAAGGTTGTATGAGTCAGGAAAACATGAAGATGGGAGAGAGTTCCAAAGGATTGAAGTGCGGGGAAAAAAACTGGATGAATAAAAGTTTTTAGAGCATGCAGGGACAGATACAGAAAACGAATGAGACTTAGCTGAATGACGAGTAAAACGAGAATGAATTTTAGTTGATGGAACTAGAGATGATAACTCCTTTGAGCAGTGACCATGATAGTATCTGTTGAAAAGAGAAAGAGATGCAACTTTACGACGATGGGAAAGAGGTTCAAGCTTAGCAGATAGTCCAGGTCCAACAACATTTACAATGCGTTTTTGGACCTTGTCAAGAAGAGAGAGTGAATCGTTAGAAGAACCAGCCCAAATATGACAACAGTATTCCATACAGGGACGAATAAGAGATTTGTAGAGGTAGAGAATGGAATCAGAAGTAAGGAAATGGCGAGCACGATAAAGAAAAGCAACCTTAGCAGAAGCTAATTTAGCAATCGATTGTATATATGGTTTCCATGAAAGGTCAGTAGTAAGCGATAATCCAAGAAGACGTAAAGAGGACGACTCAGTAAGAGGATTGCCATTCATTAATATAGGAATGTTGACCATATTACGGTAGTTGTTTGCAGTAAGCAATTGGGTTTTTTTAGGGTTGAAATTCACAAGCCACTGTGAACCCCAATCTATTACTGAAGTGAGATCAGATTCAAGATCAGCTGCTTTTTCTAGGCGATCGTTTTTTGTTTTTTTTTTTAATATAATTGTTTTTCAAATCAAATCAGAATAATAGAAAAGATGGTTATGATGAAATATGGTAAGTGGAAAGATGGCTAAGATTGCTTCTGATTCTGCTTGTGATTCTGATAAATTTCTTTATTTAACCCCTCTGTCTCCCGCGACCACTTCAGCAAAATTGAAAATTAGGTAGGAAAAGTGCGACAAAGAATAGACACCCTGCTACAACTTTTTTTTCAATGAAATTTTCCAGGTGCATAGATAAATAATAAACTTAAAAAAAAAGAATAGTACAGAAAAAAAAATGAGCATATCTTCGACATTAATTTCATGCCCAAAGTACAACAAAGTTTTAGACATCAAAAAACTCAATAAAAAAGCCATCCAGTAAAATAATGAAGCTCACAGTAATAAAGATTAACTATTCTAGTTTCTAAAAATAATCTATATTGATATCAAATTCTAAAAAGTTTTCTAACTAAACACGTCTTCCCAACTCTAGTTAAAAAAAAATCTAAAAAGCGTGGCACAGTTTTTTAGCACAAAATTCGGTTCCGTAAAACGGATATTTCCACGTACCTAGTGATAATTTTTAAATCCAATTGCAATAAATTTCTAATTTGCATAGCATAGCTACAACCTGTTTCTGTTTTTTTCAAATTGTGCTACGTACACCGTGTTTGGCATGTGTGTTAATATGAAGTCTTTGTTTCTTATAAAAGTAATTTTTCATATTTGGTCAGTATGGTTACTTAATTTTGCAGAGCCAAATCAAGTGGCATATCACCTATGGCTTGTTACTATGGATACTTCGTTTAGCATGTCAAAACTAAGTAACTATAGCAAAATATTTAACTAAAATTTATACAACAATAAAATAACAAATAATGTAGAATAAAAGAACACACAGAACTCTTTACTTATTTACATATCAAGACAACGTAAAATAAAACATTGCAATATAAAAGAAAACATACAAATTAAAAAAACAACATTAAAACTCAAAAAAAAAGAAAAGAAGAGGATTTTGTTTTGCTTTTTTATTGCTGTTTTTCTTAAACTATACACCAATGGATCATTTTGATTGGCTTATTTTCCTAGCATTAGTTATAATTTTCTTGCATGGCCTTAGTAATAACTCTTGAAATTGTTATTGTTATCTCGTTTTCTCTGATTTATGATCAATAGGCAATATCATTTTTTCCACTTTAAGGTATCCATATATTATTATTTAATGCAAACATTGAGGTATGTAGTACTACCAGGAGTAACATCTAACAATTATCTAACAGTTTCTTAACTTTATTCAAGAAATGTCTGATTCAAAACCACTGTCAATACAACAAAGTCTAAGATTTAAACCTTCAATTAGCACTTTATCAATTCCTGTTATATCACTAAATGCATCTTCATTTAAAAAAGCTACCCTGGCTCTATTACCGTCTTTAGAGTTCTCACTAATATCTGGTCTTGGTTGATCTACTATGAATCCAAAAACCTTTTCTGAACTAAACTCTTTTGCTCCATTACTGAATACTTGGCTCCAATAGATCTTGCTTGTCAAGATTTAATTTTCATTTTATAAGCAATATGCAATAAGCATTCGAATCACCTTATCCAAGAGAGAGCTTGAGAGACCATACTGGAGAATGAGTGGATTGCTTTTTTCAATAACAATTTTAATTTTATTCATTTCTGATGGGCTACATACACCAAAACATGACTGACTAGAGTCAGTTAGATGGGATATGACAGTGTGCATCTTTTCTTAAGTCATAGTAATTTCGATATGAACTGTAATAGATATTTTTTTCCCTTCGAAACCAACGATGGATAGAATCAAATGTGCCGTTTTATTTTTAAGTTTACTTTCTTTAGTAATCAACACAGATTTAGTTTCTTTTTTAACTCAAAATGCTAGCAAAGGTAAAACTAAAGAAAGAAATAAAAAAGTAAAAAATATTAAAATGTATCAATTTTTATAAAAAAATAGCAATTATACCAAATACCTGGTATACTTCATTATTTACATCAAATACATCATTAATGTGGCAAAATATTTGAGTTCTTTGGGTCTTCAAATTTTGCAAATAAATTAAATTTTTTGTGTTTTATTGATCACAGAGAATACCCACATCACTTTTGTTTTTTGAATAAAATTAGATATTTGACAAAGAAAATATATATATATATACCTGTATTAGTGTTTGTGTGTACACATACACACACATAAACACTAACACAGTGTGTGTGGGTGTATATATATATATATATATATATATATTTTTTTTTTTTTATTTTTTTGTTCTTTATTACATTTTAAACAACATTCCGTTATAAATATACAAATTAAAAAATAAAATATAGAAGTTACAATAAAATAACATAAAAGAAAAATCGTAAATAAGAAATAAAAGAACGCGGGGACTCGTAGAAGACAGTAAGGTCTTGTCGTCGAGAACCGCTTAAATGAACGTGATACAAACAAATTAAAAATCTTCAGAAAACCCGTTATAAATATAAAGATCAGTTATATAAATACTATATAAGTCAATAAACATATAAATTGTCGTATATATTGATACATATTCTTGGTAAATATATAAATTATAAAATAATAATAGTTCTTTGATAAGTGGAGGTAAAATGGGAAAACTATTAAAAATTATTAAAAGTAAATTGATAGATCGTCAATTGTAAAAATTAATTCTTTTAACTTTCGTTTAAAAGAGTTGTAGTTACATAGTTGGATAAAATCTTGAGAAAAGTTTTTTAAGACAATTTTGTTCCATAGAAATGGTCCGCGAGAAGTAATGCAGAATTTGCTCAAGTTAGTTTGAAAAAATGGCTGCCTAATAAAATTGTTATTGCGTAAAAAGTATTTATTTTTATCTTTTAACATATACAAATCATGAAAAGAAACTGGTGAAGAATTAGTTTTACATTTGAACATAAAACAAAGAGTATTATAAACATTGAGTTGATATACATTTAAGGCGTTCATTCTTTTTAATAGAGGCTTTGCATGAGTAAGACGTTCACTATAATGTATCAAACGTGCTGCATGCTTCTGATGACGATAAAGAGGTTCAAGTTTGCTTTTATTGGTGCAAGCCCATGCAATGTTTGCATAATTTATATGGCTATGAATAAAAGAGAAATATAGTTGAGTTAAAATTTTTTTATTTAAAAAGTTTCTTGCTTTTTATAAAATTCCTAAACTTTTTGAAGTTTTGTTATATGAATTTTCAATATGATTTTTCCACGAAAGATTATTATCAATATAAACACCTAAGAATTTTGTAACGTTTACTCTAATTATTTCGATGTTATCAATAAAAAGGGATGGCATTTCATAAGGCAGTAGTTTTTTCTTAGAGGGCGGCTCTTTTACAATCATCAAATTTGTCACGATGTTCCTCTAAACTTAAAGATGCCGGGGCAAATTTTTAAGAAATGTCTAATAAATGTAGGTTCAGTTAATTTTTTTATAAAATTAAAATCAAAATATTTATTGCTTTTAATTTTTTTTTTTTTTTATATCTTCAGCTTTTGATATTTCAGAGTTCCAGTATGTTTCTATGAACGAAGCAAGGTCAATTAAAGAAAACCAAGCTCTGATCTTGGAAAAACTTGAAAGTTTTGGCAAACTTTTAAATGGAAGTTCACATCTTGCACATCAAAGCGCTGAAGAATTGAAAATAATAAATAATTTATTTGACTTGATAAGGAAGAAGTAAAATTAGAAGAAAAAGCATATATGAAAATGAAGGTTTGAATTTTTCAAAATAGTTAAATGAATGATTGCACTACAATCTATTATTACTTTTTTTTTCAGTTCATTTGTAATTGATCACTGTTTTCAAATATTCAAAAATATAAATGTTTTTTTTTAATTTATAGAAATTACAATTAATGTCAATTTGTGGCAAGAATGTGCGAAATTCAGTGAAAATGTTTTGGATGCAATGTTTACAAGATCACTCCAGCAACAGTTTAGTAAAGATGGCCTAAAAGGCAAGCGTGCTTTTGTTAAGACAAATCATTACAAATGTCTTATAGGTAAAACTGTATATTTAGTATTGGCTTTTTTATTTTAAATTTAAACCTGTTTTAGATATTCTTTTTTATAAATATATAGAAATTCATGACTTTGAATTAATAGTTTGTAACAATAATGGTGGCTGTCTTGTTGTTGTGTTTAGGTTTATACTTGAGTTTGTAAAGTTATGCGAAGAAAATTATTTTAGACCACATGACTTGTTGCCTAACTGGTTTATTTTAGGCCTCGAGCTAGTTTTAAAGTTTTTCTAGAAATCCAAATAGTTCAATGTTTTTTGATCATCTGTTTGACAATAAGAATTAACATAGGAATGCTCAATTTTCTTAAAATTAATTTTTCATGAAAACATTATTATATTGTAAAAGTTTTTGTTAATCTTATATTATATTGAATATATACAGCTCTAACACATCTTGTATTTTTATTATGTACACTACAAGAGTCTGATATGAGGAGCTAGTAATCCGATAATAATTTTATTTCTTATAAATCACATTAATTGATGTCAAATTATTATCTTTTTTTGTAGGAGCGATAGTTGATCCAGCAAAGGACAACTATAACAAAAGTTCAGTTGATTACCTTGTTGATGACTTAAAACGAGCTGTCAAAAAGTAGTTGTCGAAAACACACCCTGAACACCCTAATTTGCTTAAACACCCTAATAATTCCTAACACCCTGAACACCCTAATATGCTTATACTTTTTGTTGTGAAACATGTTTTGTTTTTGTGATTCTTTAGCATGCCAATTCTATTTTGAAACTTTACTCAATTATATTTGATTAAAACAAAACTTTTTATCAATTTATGTTAACCATCTTGAAGCAACACCGAGTTCAGAAAAAACAGATGTTTCTTTATTTCTTCTGGCAGCTAACATGTGCTTGCATGGCAATTCCATAGATTTAAAAAAAGAACAAATGCAACTGTCTTCATGAAGTATATCTGTATTACCACATATCCATTTGAAAATTCCATTTTTCAAATGCCCTTTTGAACTGATTGAATCATGTAGCTGTTGTTTGACATAAGAAAATGCAATTGGAGTAAGTAGCTCGTAATAAAGACGCTCAGTTGCTTTGTGGCTAGTACTAACTGGAACACGATCAGTCAAATTTTTATTTTGTTGATCTCTTTCGTTAAGCATGCATGTAATAACAGCGAGAAAATCTTTGAAAGAGACGGGCAAAGGACTTAGTATGGTAACAACAGCTTTCATTCAACGATTAATTGACTCTATACGATTAGTGGTACCCATTCATATCTGCAACCATGCCAATTAACCTCAAAATATTTAACAACTGTTCCCGGCATAACTTTGTGAAATTCATTGCGAATGCTTTCATATTTCTCCTCGGATGATGCGTAAGTCATTTTTTGAATCGTTTATAATGCACTCAATTTTTGATCTTCTGAAATATTCATTTTTGTGTAGTTATTTCCCCACTCATACGTCTGAGTACATGAAAAATGCACAACAAGAGAGCAACTTGCGGAAAAGCTTGGCAAATATTCTCTTCTTCCGTCAAATCTTTATTTGTAAAAACAGTTAAAATTTTATTTCAGTTTGGATTTTTTTCATTAAAATATCTAGCATAGCATTTAGTGTTACTGAGTCTTCAGTTGCTGTTAGAAATATTGCTGAAATCTCACTCTCACCATGTGGTCCAACAAAAAGCATTATATAGAGTGGCATTCTCAAATTGATCAGTTTGTAAGTTGTATCCATTAAAACTATTTCAGGATATTTATCAAAGAACCTCATTATTTTAGCATCTTGATAAATAATGCCATTTAATACTCTACTTTAATTTCAAGATCGGGTCCTGTTGTGAATTAAAAAAAATCATTATTTAAATTACCAATAAGTACTTTTTTTACCAATAAGTCCTTTTTTGCTTAGCAGCTAAATTATAAAAATCTCTCTAAGTGACTGTTTACCTAAAAATTGTTTTTTTTATCAGTATACTTGCACTTCTATAGGAAAATGCATAAAACTGAAATTATAGATATACATTGAGTATACAAGATAAAATATAGAAAAAACAATCTAAAAATATTTTTGTTGAATTACTAGCTTTTTTAAAACCTGTCTCTTTTATAACCCATTTGTTTCCATGCATAGTTAAAATTTTCGATACATCTCGCTCTTCTTCTGTGGTTAGTTTTTTTCTTTTTGGGAGGTTGTTAAAAAACTCCTTAGAAATAAAACGTTAAACAAATTTAAATTGCTCTACATAGCAGAATTTTATTTTGTAGCTTTACAGTATTACTTGTATAGTTATAAAAGAATTATATAATATATATATATATATAGTTATAAAAGAATATATATATATATATATATATATATATATATATATATATATATATATATATATATATATATATATATATATATATATATATATACTTTTATAACTCTATATATATATATTTTATAAAATAGTTATATAAATACATATATATATGTATATATATATATATATATATATATATATATATATATATATATATATATACATACCAGTAATAAGAGTAATTTTTCGGTAGACAGTGCTCAATACAAAAGTAGAGCAAATATATATTATATTAAAATAATAATAAAATACAATTAAGTTTGTAACATAACTCAGAGTTTCACGCTATATGCGATCATCAGACGTTACAAACAACCATAACAACAACAAAAATTATATACAAAATTACAATACAGTGTTAGCTTAGATGACTTTAAAGTTGCAGATAACAAATTTGTTTTCGTGGCGACATTTAGATAATAATTCATTTCGCTTATTTAATAGTTTTAAAGGTGATGTAATGATATGGTATTTTTCCGTTAAACAAAGGTTACATAACTTTCTTCCAGGTTTAAAAGGTTCTGCCCTATCAATAATTTTCCACGTAAGAATAGGATTTGAAAATCCCTTTTTTTTCATTTCCCAGATATATTTAGAAAGTTCTGTGGCATTAGCTTTACTTTCGTATTGAAAGGAGTTCTTATGCTTGTACCAGCGATCTTTAAAGGTGTGCTCTGTTAAACCAATATAATTTAAACCACTATCCTGTGGTGATGTTTTAACATTGCAGACGTAAATTATATTTTTACTAAGACACGTACCTTGCAAAGGACATTGTGAAGGTTGCCGGTGACGCGAACTAAAGTAACTCCCCAAAAAATTAACTCCCGGTTAAAATATTTCAACTCCCCGGTTAATCCATTTCGAAATAAATTAACTCCGGGAATTAAATTATTTTAAAAAATGGCGAAATAGATTAACCGGGGGCTTAAATAATTCTAGCCCCCTTCGTAATAAACGAACCCCTATCGATACGCGTTTTATAATAGCTGATAATAAGTTCTACTAAATTGTAATTGAAAAAGTACTCCATTTTATTGTATTTTTTTAATATATATCGTCAGTTAGCGTTGAATAAAGTTATTTTGTAACTGTTCATTTTTGACAAGTTTGTATATTGTAAAAATAAAAAGGAGATCAAAAAATAATAATATTGCACGAACTTGAGTGAACCTTTTCCTTTTGCTAATAAATTATTACCAAAATAAAAATGTTCACTCAAGTTCTTTTCAGAACATTATTATTAAATAATGTTTGACATTATAGAGTTTATATAGCTAACTTGGTAGCTATCTAATATATATATATATATATATATATATATATATATATATATATATATATATATATATATATATATATATAAAGATAGATAGATATATTTGTATATATACGTATATATATATTTTTGAATGTAGACATCATGTATGAGAGTATGTAAATTATTATTTTATAAACATCAATAAATACGATTTTCTCTCGATACTAAATTTATTTTTTATTTTTTTAAAGAAATTTTCGCTGGATTGTTGTGACCAGCGTCTTCAGCTTAAAAGATTTTGTTTGTTTTTGTTTATATGTTATTATATAATATATATATATATATATATATATATATATATATATATATATATATATATATATATATATATATATATATATATATATGTACATATATATATATATATATATATCTTTAAAAGTCATTTCTTGTTATACGATATATATATATATATATATATATATATATATATATATATATATTTAATATGTAAGTTGATTTTAATAAAAAGGCAGCGTATAACTATTTTTAAATATATTTTGATGTAAAAATATATCAAACAAGCTCGAGGTGGTTTGTCACAAAATAATATTTCAACTTAAATAAGAAAGATATATTCTTTATATAAAAAAAGATAAGATAAAGCAAAAAGCATTTGCAAAGTGTTTTTTTTTCTTTTATTTATTACTAATATTCTATCAATTAATGTATATTTTATTTTTACATTAAAAATATAAAAAAGTTAAAATAAAAACAATGAGATGTTGGTTTGTTCAAATCAATATAATTGTTTTCGATTATTTATTTTCAATAAATTCAATTTAGAAATATTTATGTCGGTGCATTTAAATTTACTTATATTTGAAGCACATATTTTATAAAATATATCCAATTTATGTTTCTATTTGAATAAGAATTTGGTTGATAATTTAAACTTTATGTTTTTTTAGATAGTATACTTTTCTCAAGGCTTAAAACTTAAAAATCAAGACAAAGATCGTTAGGCTTTAAATTTCGAGACAGAGACTATAATTTTTTATACGAAGAACTTTAAAAACATCAACCAAACAGGTCATTAAAAATATTTCAAATATTTTTTGCAATTTGCGGAAAATAAAAATTCACAATTACTTTTATTTTGCTTATATTAGATTCAAATGGAATTAGATTAGAGACGAGTCAAGTATACTGAGTATGAAAATTGTCTGAAAAAATAAAAAAGACAGCATGATTGAAAAATGTATACGTCATAAATATATTACATTTTCAAAATAAATAGATTGCAAATGAAAACCGTATTGAAATTTATATGACAATTGTTGTAATTTGAGGTTTTCTTCCTCGTTTGTTTCTTGACTTTTTCGGGAAAGCAATTGGTATTCTCGTTTCTAGACAGGATGCCAAATGCTTTCGCATATCGTCTTCATTGTAATAAAAATCTTCTAATCCCAAAGCCCACGTAAAGGCAAATGCAGCAGCAAAAACTCCACAGTCATACGCGTTAGTTTGATGCTGAACAGGTACAACTTTTATAGCGAGGTTTCCACTTTTATTTACAAATTTTGCATATAACTGTCGCATTTGGTGTCGGACATACTCTGATATCGATCCACCAAGACTGTCTGCAAAATAAACGTTTCCATCAAAACATGCTGTGCATACCCAGTGATTTAAATCATGCAAAATTTTAATTAAGTCATAACTCAAAGCTTTAAACCCTTCTATCCCTTGCGAAAGTAGTGTTGACTGACATGGTTCTTCATTCGCCAAGTTAAGGCTAACGATAGTATTAACAGCGTCGATAATGCGGTCATTTAGCCATTCATTAGACTCCAAAATTTCTTTATCTTCTTGTTTTAGATTCAGTTCCTGTATGCACCATGCAAATGGTGGGGGTGAATCTTCTAAATCTATAATTTCTATTGAAGTTATCGCTTGTTTCAAATGAACATCTTCCAAAGAAACAGAAGTTGGTGAAGTAATTAATGTAGGTGGAAACCAAAGTTTTAAATTGCTAGCATTAACAACTTGTTTAATAATTTTTTCTCCAAGTTGAAGCCTGTAAACTCCTTTTCCTAACTCGTCTATGATTTTAAAAGGACCAGTAAACCGCGCAGAAAGCTTGTCACCCATTCGTGTGTCACGACGACGGTTATATTTAAGTACGGTTTA